TATCTATCTATCTATCTATCTATCTATCTATCTATCTATCTATCTATCTATCATCTATCTATCTATCTATTTATCTATCTATCTATCTGTCATTTATCTATCTATCATCTATCTATCTATCTATCATCTATCTATCTATCTATCTATCTATCTATCTATCTATCTATCTATCTATCTATCATCTATCTATCTATCATCTATCTATCATCTATCTATCTGTCATCTATCTATCTATCTATCTATCTATCTATCTGTCATCTATCTATCTATTATCTATCTATCTATCTATCTATCTATCTATCTATCTATCTATCTATCTACCCACCTACCTACCGAATCTATCTATGTATCTCCCTCCCTCCCTCCCTCCCTCCAAGTTCGATGTAGATGCGGAAACAGGACAAGAATCGAGCATCTTTCCGAACCGAAAGAAGAGATGCAAACGCACCTTTGGCACCAAGTATGGCAAGACAACTCGACTCTTCACAGCCATAACCTGCTTTAGACCATCCAGGGCGAAGTCTGAGGTTTCTTCACACTCCTAGAGGAAAAGAAGAGCAGGAATAGAAAGAGTGAATTATTCTCCAAAGCGGGCACAAGGAGTAACAGATGGGAACTCAAAGCAGAGATCCAATCTAGAACTAAGGAGAAATTTTCTGACAGTGAGGACAATTAATCAGTGGAATGAAGCTTGTGGAACGGCATGTTTTCAAGAAAAGATTGGAAAGCCAATTTGCTTGAAACGGTATTGCTTGAGCAAGGGGCTGGATGAGAAGACCTCCAAGGAGCCCTTCCAAATCTTCTATTCTATAGTCCATGAAACCCAAAGCTCACCAGATATTGCTGGGGTCCCCATTCAATCCTACCAGCTTGAACCCCTGAAGGACGGCAGGTGCTTTAACCCCAATCAACGGCCAACGTAACGGCTAACAGGCATCCCCCCTTCAAGCCAATCGTCAGACAGGAAGTTAGTTTGTGCCGTCTTGCCATTCCACCCAGGACGTTCAGAGAGAAACCGTGGGATGTAGCCAAGAGGTCACCGTTCTTACCAGCTGCTTTAGCAGGAAAGGGAGGATGTCTTCGAGGGCCTGGAATCCAATTGTCGAATGCAGCTGTTCAAAGGTTTTAGCGGCCGCTTCTCGCACCTCTTCCAGAGGGTCGCAAAGGGCCTTCCTGACGGTGGGCACGAGAGATTCAGAAAAGCACAGCACCTGAAACAGAGGAACAGGAAATGTCTTCAGAGCAGATGCAAAGAAGAGCTCGCAACCATAAATGAGGTGAGAGAGAGAGAGAGAGAGAGACGGGCCTGAACTCCTTCACTTAAAATAAACAGGATATTCAGAAGAACGTCTTCCTACAATAAACTACAGGGATTCACTTTGAATTGGTTCTGGGAGGCGCGATGAGGAGGACTAAAAATGATGAGGACCAAACACATTTTCCCCATAAGGAATAATATAGGTAGGTAGTAGGTAGGTAGGTAGGTAGGTAGGTAGGTAGGAAGGAAGGAAGGAAGGAAGGAAGGAAGGAAGGAAGGAAGGAAGGAAGGAAGGAAGGAAAAAATAGGATGAATGGGAGGGAGAGAAGAATTAAGAAAAAGACAGGAGAAAAATTGAAAGAGATAAAGAGAAAGATTATAAGGCAGGCAGACAGGTAAAAAGGAAGGTTATGTACTCCAATCTTTTAACAACCCCTAAGAGCATTAGCAGAAACATTCACTTACAGCATCCCGGCTGGTGGACTTCATGATTTCACTCAGGCCAATGCAGACCCCCTGCCTCTTGTCACTTTTTTCAGATCTTAGGCCCTCTTCCAAAATGGGGATGATCTCCGGTAGAATCTTCTCTCCCAGCTTTCGGACAAGATCCCCCAGCGTCCGCGCTGCAATCTGTCCGTTCCCCCCCCAAAAAAGATACAGATGAGTGAATGAAGTCCCCGCCCACGATACTCTCAACAAAAATCCAATCTTTGGCTGGTGATTTCCCAGGCTCATCAAAATTGCAAACTGTTTCCGATTGACCCCAAAAGGAAAATTATTCACGATCACAGCATGGTAGGCAAAACCGGCCTGAGATCAGTGCCTCAAATCGCCCCTGGAGTGCATACAGGGCATCCTCGTCTTACAACCGTTTGTTTAGTGACTGTTCAAAGTTACAACAGCATCGAAAAAAGGACTGTTTTTGTTAAGGTATTGAAGATTTAATAGCTGACCAGCTGCTGTAAGGCAGTAAATGCTGATGCAATGAGAATGAGTCAGCAGGGTATTGCCGCTTTAAGAAGCTGTTTATATACAAGGGAGGCCATGAGAGAGCGTATCTTTCTCTCCTCGTGTTCTATCTCCATTGTAGTTCTCCGTGCAGAGTCATGAAGACTGATTACTTGCCTGGTATGTGCCTAACACACTTATGTATGTATATAGCTGTCTTGTATAGAAACCACTGTTAAAAGACAAAGATTTTGTGTGCTATGTTGTGCTCCTGGGTTATCTCACAATAGTAGTCACACTGCAAACACTCTGACAGTTTTTCACGCTTAAGGCCGTTGCCACGTCCCTGTGGATGATCCAAATTGGCCATGCTTGGCCACTGACTCATATCTATGATGGACGTAATTCGAGGACTACCTATACAGGGTCTTAGACGAAGAGACACCGCGCGCAGTTCGGAGAGGAAAGAGCATTTCGAAACATCTAGCAGAAATGAACCGGACGGCCCCAAAACTTAACTGTTCTCTTGTCTGCACAGGTACTGGCCAAAAATCCCAACAGGAGGCCAAAGAGAGTCGGCAAGATTTCACGTAGCGTGCGTGGCGTGTTGGAAACCACAATTTTCCAAACATGGAGCGATGCTTGGCGAACAGCCAGCTGGGTATCGGAACGGCCCATGTAAAGCCCAGCCAGTACTCGATTTCTTCGTTCTACTCCGAGAGCGTTAATGATAGCCTGGAAATATATATATTAAAAAAACAATAATAATCTGTCAGAAACGGTGTAGGGTCTCCTGCCTGGGCGTGGGGTTGGACTAGATGACTTACAAGGTCCTTTCCCACTCTGTTAATCTGTTAAACTTACTTTGTTAGATTGGGCTGTTCCAAAATTATCATCCTCGGAGGCCGTCTCAGTTGTCATTTTCCCAGAAACTCCTGAAATGTGGAACAGGAGATCTCCCAGCAGCTGAACTGAGCTATACCTGTACCGAAACACAGAAACTCAGATTAAAGGAAAAAGCAGGGCAACAGGGTTTTACACTGAGTTGAAGAGATCATGGCCCTTTTTTTCCCCAAGCTGCGTAGGGGCAAGTCCTCAATTTATGGCCGCCACTGAACACAGAATTTCCATCGTGGAGTTGTTGCAGTCGTTAAGTCAGGTTGTCATGTGGCTGGACTCAGTTTTTACAACCTTTTTGTATGGTTATAAATCGCCGTGCTCAAAAATTGAGTCACACAGTCAAAACGCAGCCATGAGAATTCACACTAAACCAAGAGTTTATTTTTTTGCCAGCAATCCTAAGAAATAAATCAGCAAAAAAATTGATGCAGATCTGGCCATGGTTGTCCCAACGGTGCTTTTTCCAAGAAGCAACTGGACTTTGTTTTTCTTTGAAGACGTTTCGCTTCTCATCCAAGCAGCTTCTTCAGCTCTGCCGGGATGGTGAGAAATGTCATCACAGCCGCGAGGTTAACTTATGCCCAAAATTGGAAATGTAACGAAACGCCAGATGAGTTGGAAATAATTAGGAAAATTTGGATGTGTGCCGAAATGGACAAACTAACTCAAGAATTAAAAAAAAAGGCCTGAATCTGATTATTATAAAATTTGGGAGAAGTTTTACCACGGGTTGAAAAAAAGGAAGGAACAAGATTATCAAAAATGACCAAAGTTTATGGGTGGATGTAAATTTGTATCATTTTTTAATACTTATTAATTAATGATGTAAGACAATAAGGTGTGTCAGGATGTATGCACCACGTTCACTGTTGTTTTTTAAATGTCTTTTCTTTTTTGTATGTTTAATAAAATTTGTTTTAAAATTTTTTAATAAATAAATAAATGGAAGGATTTATGCTCCTTGCCAGACAGCTGGTCATTCGCATTCTTTTACAGAGTCGCTGAGGCCGCTTGGAGGTTTGTCTGTGTCTTCAGGGTCAAAGAGGCCATGTAAGTCCAAATTGGACATCCCTCTCTCATCAGAGGGGGAAGGATAAAACATCACCTATCTCCAGTCTACAACACGGTCCTTTCAGTAGCTCCAGGAAGGCTCCACCCTCATTTGCACCAATCAGGACAGAAACCTCCCAGTGGCCTCAATGACTCTCTAAAAAGGATGCAAATGACCCGCTGTCTGCAAGGAGTATCGATCCTTCCAATCCCCAACATCCAGTCCAGAGCTGAAGAAGCTTCTTGGATGAGAAGCGAAAGGTCTTCAAAGAAAAACAAGGAAATCCAGTGATCTCTTGGAAAAAAAAAAAAAAAGCACTTTTGGGACAACCCAGGGCCAGGTTTGGAAGTTTGGCTCGTACCTGATTCTCCAAAGGTCATCGAAGAGGCCTTGTTCCAGTTGAGGAAGGAGTAATGCGATGGCCGTCTCCGCATACATGCTTATAATTCTCTGCCCTGCACGGAGAGCCGTGTCCCGCACAAACTCGTTCTCATCTGCCAGGGCCTGAAACGGGACCAAAAACCACCTGTAAGCCACATAATTTTTTTCTGCGGCAGTGCTGCAGCTCGACGAGCAGGGGATTGATGAAATGCTGGATTTGAACAAGGCTTTTGACATAAACGGGCTCAATTGTTTCTATTTAATTGTTTATTTGTGTCCCACCCTTTATTCCTTTTACAATTAAGATGATCGGTATATACAACACACTCTCCTCCTCCTATATTTCTCACAATAACAACCCTGTGAGAGAGAGAGAGAGAGAGAGAGAGAGAGAGAGAGAGAGAGAGAGAG